TTCATCTTGGTTTTTCATGGCCCTGAAATGCAGGGTCAAAGAGAACAAAAGGGTTTATGATGAGGAAAGATGTGCATCAGGGTTGTAACCTTTCATCACACTTAGTCAATCTGTCAGATGAGCAAATAATCCAAGAACTGGGCTGTCTGAAGAAGAATGCTGCATCAGGATTGGAGGAAGGCTTATTAACAACCCCCAAGATGCAGTGACACAACCTGGCTTGTTGAAAGCCAAGAGGATCTGAAGCACTCACTGAGGGAAATCAAAGGCTCTAGTACAGATGGCAATTCAGTGTAAAGAAAACAAAAATCCTCCATAAGCAACATCAAGATTGAGGGTAAAAAGATAGACATTGTCAATGTTTCATTTGATTTGGTTCCACGATGCAGGTTCATGAAAAGAGCAGTCAAGAAATCAAGCAAGATTTGGATGGTTATTAGAGCTGTGGCTGTAAGGGGACCCAATAAAATGATTAAAAAAAAAAAAAAGAAATCAAACAATGTATTTCACTGGGAAAATCTACTGCACAAGGCCCTTTGAAGGTGTTAAAAAGCAACGATATCATTTTGAGGACTAAGCTACACCCGACCCCAGCCATGGTATTTTCAATCACTTCATGTGCATGTGAGAGTCGGCCAAGATATAAGGAAGACAGCAGAAGAATTGTGCATTTGAATTAGGGTGTTGTGAAACAGACTGAAAGTACCACAGACTGCTAGAAGAACAAACAAATCCATTTTGGAATAGGCACAGCCAGACAGTTCTTTAGCGGTGAGGGGGGAGAGACTTCGTATCATGCACTTTGGACATGTTATCAGGAGACACAAGTCCCTGGAATCTCCATGTGCTTTGGTATCAATCTCACTCTGGGTCTAGGAGGTTCTCAGCACTAGGGAACACACAACTCAATCCATGATATTTATTATTATGCAAATTAAATTTATTTTTGCACATATATTGAAGTGTTAAATGTTAATTTGCACTTTCCATTGAAATAACTGGACACCGAGTATGATGACTATATTTAACAACGGAGAAACTCCTAGGTGTAAGGTTCCAACACCTTTACAGACTGAACGACAGTCTGGGGCTCAGTTGGGATGGAATCCTAAGCATGACTGCCAAGGTGGACAACATAACGGGATACAAAAATGGCCCCTGACAACAACTGAGAAAGTGACTATTCAATAGTATGTTTTCCAAGGGTAAAAAAGGCCCCTGAAAGTGAGAGATGGCTTTTATTATGAGGGTCAAGCTAAGGTTGGAATGAACTCTTCTCTGTCACAAGGTATTCGCATTTACAAAACAACGTTGTGTCTGTATTAAAGTGGGCGATCCCACATATAAAAGATCAGCATTGGATGAGTGAATACATGGTTGAATGACCACCAACCCAAACTAGGGGGGGGAAACTTAGTTATCACGTACATCCCTCTTGCGTTTTCATAAGGCCGTTTCTCAAAACAAACGAACAAACAACAACATCAAAACTATTCTGAAAACCAAGCCAATCAACTTCAAATAACACACACACATATATAGGATCTAATAAATCTAATATCTATAGTATTTAATCTGAACATTTCACTGAATGGCTCCAATTCCTATAGTGTTCTGAGCATTTATCACTGCTGTTTTCTTATCAAAGGAGCGCATAAGACAGGAGAACCCCGGTACTCGACCGCATCAGTATTTAACATAATTGGTTTTTGAGAGAAATGTCCAGAAAATTTTGCATCGGAGCTCAAACAAAACATCAGAATCCGACCCAACACACGTGATTTTTGTAAACAAAAGCAGTTCGTGTTTAGGTCACTCGATGTTACTTGGTGTTGTTAGTACGTGTTGTTTAAACCTTTTGCAGCTGTGTTCCAAGCATTTTGCTATAATTTTCTTAGTCTTCGTGACTTTTTGTACTGTTTTAGATTTAAAAAATGGGTCTAAGAACGAGTTTTTTGAAAATAATCATCATGATAAGGAACGGGTTAACGTGTCATTGGTATTGTTCATGATAATTTAGTAAATCCTTTTAGAAAAGTTAAGGAAATATCAACAGCCGACCACATGAGACAGATACTTCCTTTAGAAAGCCATCGAGGTCCTAGTGAAAGATGGAAAACAAGGGAAAACTGAAAAGCAGCTGCCAGTTGATTCTACGGAAGGGGATTCCCTTCTAAGCAACGGCGCTCTCTCATATCCGTGTCCACAGATCCAGGTCCTCATCAATCTCAAGGTATGGGCCATACTGCAGTTGTTAAAAACTTTTGTAACATTGTGTTTCTTATTTAAATTATACTAATTAACTCTGAACTTATTTACTTTGAAATTTCTGTGTAATATTTTCTATAAAAAGGCAAGGTTAGGGTCAAAACTTGGTGGTCGAGAATAGATTCTCAATTATTTCTTATGGGAAAAATTGATTCGGAACTCAACTGCATCACATCTCAACACTCCTAGAACAGATCAGTGTTGAGGTCTGGGGGTCTACTGTATTAGTTGCTGTTAGGTATAGAGGACACACACACACACACATACACACACACACGTTCTGGCTTTATCCCAATCAGAATTCCTCCTGAGTACCAGGTTTATGGAGAGAAATGTCTCCATGAAGGTGCAACATCAAAACCAACACAGGAAAGCTGTAAAACAGGGTGGGGGTCCCCCTTTAATAAGTGCCAGAAGGAAGTGATGGGAGTTCTGAAAACATTTGTCTTCCTAATCCATCCTGGGAGATCTTGAAAGAGTCCGCCAGTGTCAGGCCTCAGGCAAAATCCGATTGGTCTGGAATCAAAGATCTGATGTAGTGTTTCACAGTGGCCAACTCCCTCCTTGTCCCAGGCCCAGGCAGGATTCAAATGGAGACCCCGGTGATGATGTGTCACAAATGGATGGACATGTCTGAGGTGGGAGGTTGGCTTGATTGCTGCTTCCAAACCTGGAACTAAGTGGTTGGGACGGATTCTTGGGCCAGTGCTTCCCAGGGAGTGAAGGCAATGCCAGCACAGCCGGCAGACCCTGCAAAGGCTTAGAGACCAGTGTGCTGTAACCCGCAGCTTTCTGACAGCCCACTCCTTCTTTACCTAACTGTAGGCGGAAGAATTATTATGATTTACATGCATTGACTTCCATTGATCTACAACCAGCTAATTCTGCCAACAGAGATCTATTAAAAAACAACAACAAGAACCACAATAACAACATATAATTAACTGAAGTTATTTAGGAACTAATCACTCAAGCCCTTTTTTCTTCCTCCTATTTAATTCCTTTCGCCAGCTCCCTATTGATTAGCTTCTCTTGCTCATTAAAGAAACAAAGCAAATGAAACGTGAAGTCACAGGGTCATCTGTGATTAGAAGCTGTCATGAAAGGTTTAAGGACTAGCAGGAAGGGAAAAGGGAAGAGTTACTGGAAAGTTCTTCTTTGTTCGTTTGTTTGGGTTAGCAGGAACTTTGGTTCTGGAGCCAAGCACAGCGAGTTTGGGTTTCTTGTTTTGCCACTTATTAGATGTGTGCCCTTGGGCAAGGACCCCAGTCAGTCTGAGTCAGCTGCGGAACAATGACTCTTGGCAACCCCATGTACAAGGAAACAAAACACTGTCCAGTGCTGTACCATCCGCACAGCCACTGCCGTGTTTCGGCCCACTGCCAGCAGTCGCCATGTCATGCCATCCCCTTGGAGCTCTTCCTCTTTTCATTGATCCTCTACTTTACCCAGCAAGATGTCCTTCTCCAGGGATTAGTCCCCCTAACACGACCAAAGTGTGGGGGACAAGTTTCAGCGCTCACTTCCAAGGAGCATTCCAGCTGTACTTCTCCCAGACAGACTGGTTCACGCCTCTGGCCGTCCATAGGACTTTCAATATTCTTTGCCAGCGCCACAGTCTAAATGTATCGATTAGTCTCTCACCTCACTTAGCCATTGCCCAGCGTCCGTGGACCCACGAGGCAATGAGAAACAACACGGACTGGGGAGGGCACACCTTGGTCTTCCATGTAGCGCCTTTGCTCTTCGACACTTCAAAGAGGTTCGTTGCAGCCATTTTGCCCAACGCAATCCTTGAGCTGATTTCCTGCTGTTGCTTCCACGGGTGTCGATTGTGTATCCAAGCACAATGAAATCCTTGACAACTTCAATCTCTCCCCCTGTTTATTGTGATGCTGCTTATTGGTCTATTTGTGAGGATTTTTGTTTTCCTTGTACAGAGGTGAAAGTTCAAAAGAATTTGGAAGGATTGCATTAAATAATACAAAGACCCAGACATAGTCATTCCTACCTGGTAGGCACTCAAGCTACATCATTAAAATAATCTAGAATGATCTCTTATTACGTAATTATGATATGGTTAGAAGAAAATGCTCTTAAACTGAGTACAATTTCCCAAATAAATGTGTACATTTTAAGCTGTAAACTGCTTGCTGATCTAAATTTGCATTTAAAAATCTGAGTGAACCAGATGCGAATAGCTTGTTAGAAGACCGAGTACATTGGAAACCCAACATGTGTAGTTGGGTTAAAGTTGAACACCTTTGATTTCTTCTCCCGTTTGACCCATTTTGAATTCGTCCTCAGTTTAATTATTTTTTTTGCTTTCTTTCAGATTGTGGTTTTTCTGGTTTCATTTGATAATTGTTGTACAGTTCTGATTTTTTGTTCATCTTATATGCTATCTGGGATATGTAAATCTATAAAGACAGTAACTAGATCAATGGTTTCTTGGGATAATGGCAGCAAACACCCACAAAGGTGCAGGGGAGGTGGGGAGCTAGTAGTAGTGAATACAATAATGAAGAAACTGTTCTAAAATTGATTGTGGTGATGATTGTGCAACTCTTTTTTAATGTTTATACCAATGAATTGTATGATACATGCATTATATGTCAATAAAACTGTGAAAAAGTGGGGGGGGGGGAACATTACTAGATAAAGGTTTTGAGCCACAGTGAAAATAAATAGACAGATAATTGTCTAAGATAGCTACGTGAATTAAACTTTACCTGTCGGCTTCCCTGCTTGGAGGAGCAGCTGCTTGTGCTCCTTGAAGGCGAGACCAATTTTTGGGACACCCCGAGGTTCTTCTCATCGCTCATTGTGCACAGGAGGTGAGTTGGCCTCGGTGCTGTCAAAATGCCAGCAGCAGGGAATGGAGCCGAGAGGATGGAAACCCCACGCGGGCAGGCGGATCAGCTTTCAGCCAGCACGATGTGAGAGCATTCTGCGTGACCTGGAAGGAATCCCTTAAAACCTAGGGAAAGGAAGAGAGAGAGAAAGTCAGAGGTGTCGGGCGTCATCTACAGATTACAGTGTCACAACGTTTCGCTGCATCGGAGACTGTGGAGGGGGGGATGCTTCACACTTCTCTCGCTGGAAATCGTGCATAGGTTGTTTTCCATGTAGCTTTGCAGTATGGCAGATTTAAGAATGCTAAGAAGAAAGTTTGAGTCAAGACACCTACAAGATACAACACCTGAAGTCACTGAAGACAATGGTTGCACAAGCAAGTGTGGTGAAGAAAGCTGATGGTGCCCAGCTACCAAAAGATATAGCACCTGAAGTCTTAAAGACCTGAAGATAAACAAGCACCATCTAGCTGAGAGACAACAAAACCCACACGGAAGAAGCACACCAGCCTACCCCTACTTGATCGCTGAGGACATAGGGGGTGCATTAGCAAAAGTGGGGAAGAAAGCAGATGGTGCCCGGCTATCAAATGATACAGCATCTGGGGTCTTACAGGCTCGAAGACAAACAGATGGCCATCTAGCTAAGAAACAACAAAACCCACAAGGAAGAAGCACACCAGCCTACCCCAACATGAATACTGAAGACAAAGCGGGTACATAAGCAAATGCAGTGAAGAAAGCTGATGGTGCCAAGCTGTCAAATTACACAGAATCTGGGGTCCCACATGCTGGAAGATAAACACGGGGCCATCTAACTGAGAAACAACAAAGCCCACATGGAAGAAGCACACCAGCCTGTAAGACGATAAGGCGGCGAAAGGGTCAGGTATCAGGCATCAAAGACCAAAAAAAAAAAAAAAGATCATAACATTGTGAATGAGGGGGAGTGCAGAGTGGGGACCCAGGGCCAATCCAGGGGAAATTGGACATCCTCTTGCAGAAGGGCTGCGGGGAGATGAAAAGCAAATCAGAGTGCAGTGTAGTAACGATGAAATATGCAATTTTCCTCTGATTCTTAAATGCTTCCTCCACCCCACTACCATGATTCCAATTCTACCTTACATATCCGGCTGGACTGGAGGAGGTGCACTGGCACAGATAGGAACTGGAAATACAGTGAACCCAGGACAGATGAACCCCCCAGGACCAGTGGAGAGAGTGGCGATGGCGGGAGGGTGGAGGGAAGGAGAGGGAGAAAGGGGGAACAGAGGACAAGGTCTACATGTGGCCTCCTCCCTGGGGGACGGACTGTGTAGAAGTGGGCAAGGGAGATGTTGGATGGGGTAAGATATGATAAAATAATAATAAATTGTAAATTATCAGGGGTTTTGGGGGAGGGAGGGAGAAATATGAGCTGACACCAGGGGCTCAAGTAGAAAGTGGGTGTTGTAAGAATGATGAAATCAACATATGTACTAAAGTGCTGGACACAGATGACGTATGCACAGATTGTGATGAGTTGTATGAGCCCCTAATAAAAGAATTATTAAAAAAAAATAACAGATGACATTCAGTCAAGTAAACCTAAGAAATCAAGAGAGGAGTGCATTTTACTAAACTATTGTTCACGAAAATAGTTTATAGGATATAAACGATGGCACCATAAAGATAGCGTTGAGCAAGGAAGGGAAAAAAGGTTTAATCTGAAAGGTTAGTTCTCAATTAACTACATGACCTGAGAAAGGTTCCTCTTCTCCTAAACCTTCCCTCACTGGATGAAAGCCTCGCGAAGAATAAAGTAAATTTGATTAAAAAAAATCAGTATCACAAAAACCATCACTCACCATAAGGAGCTACTACTTCACACCCATTAGAAGACTGACGTTAACAGCAACCAAACAAAACGGAAAAGAACAAGAGTTTGCAAGATGTGAAGAAATTACAACCCTTTTTCCTTGACTGATATCTAAAATACCAAACTGATTCCAACTCCTGGTAACGCCATAGGACTGAGGGGAACTACCTCAGGAGGTTTCCGGATGGAAGTGGACGGCCACACCTTTCTCCTGAAGAAGTGCTGGTCGGTTCAAACAGCCAGTCATTTGTGAGCAGTGGACTGCTCAATCACTGTGTAACCAGGGATCCTTAAAGCAGCATAGTAGGTGTTTAATGAATGCATGAGAATATAACAACGGTGCACCCTCTATGGAAAATAGCCTGGCTGTTCCTCTAACAGTGCAGCACAGTTACCACGTGACCTGGCAATTCCACTTTAAGGTATAAACCCAAGAAAAAATGGAAATATGTCTATACAAAAACATGTACAAGAATGCCTTTAGTGCTTATTCGTGGTTATCAACGCTGATTAGTGATTATCAGGGGTCAAAGGAAGGGAGAAACGGGAGTTAACAAGGATGGGAAGATTGCATTGATTAAGGGTAGGGTGGCACAGCTGATTATTTTAACTGCTATTAAGTTGCGCACCTGAAAATAGTTGGAGTGGTGGAAGTTGAATGATAAGTATATTTATAACAACGATCAATGCCTCTGTTGAGGCTGCTTAGGTACAACCAAACACCTCATGGGATTGGGGTTCCTTGGCTTAGAAGTTTAGGGTCACAGTGCATGAAGTAGCCTCCTTAATTGGCCTACTAACGTGTTTAGTGCTTCTTTTGTATCTCCGTGTTTGTTACACAGGCCTCAAAGACCTTGCAAGTGGCTGCGCAAGTCACAACAATGGGTCTCTATTCCACTGGAGCACTAGAGGAAGGAGGGTCACTAAAGGAGGAGGGTGTGCAATGGGTGGCTAGTTGCCTCCATGAACAATGGCCATTCGTCTTGGCTAGAACTGGAGGGTGCCCAGCTACCATTCTGGAACCTTTTGATCAAAGGTTTCCTAGAAAAATCCTGATCAAATGGGAGAAGATACAGAACAGAATTTTACATTTTTATGGATGCTAGCATTTTGGGAGGGCGATGGACCACTGAAACCATTGTCCTGAGATCATCTTAAAGCCTTAAACTATCAAAAATATGCTTTGTCTTCTTAAAAACAGAATAGTAGCTTAGCTTCACTAGCAAAAGAAGGTCTACCTTGAACAGCATGCCCTTGGAAGAACTATCTATATGGGATCACACCGACAACAGCACTCGAAAGATTAAATGGGAACCTGTGAGGATGTGGAGTGGTTGCAAATAAGAAAAGAACAACTCAGGAAAGGAGGGTAAGAATGATGCACAACTTGATGAATGTTGTCCATATCACTAAATTGTACCTACTCTTTCACTGGAAGGAAGACTACAGAGAAAGGCTTACGGCCATCGAGTTGATTCTGACTCACAGTGACCCAATAGGACAGGGGTGGAACTGCTCTACTAAATCTTTACATGGGTAGAAAGCCTCATCTTTCTCTGGTGGAGTGGCTAGTGGTTTTGAACTGCTGACCTTGTAATTAGGAGCTCAACACACAATGCACTATACCACTAGGGCTCCAATTTAAAAACAGAGTATCTAAAATAGGGATGGGGATGTTATGGACACTTGGTTTGCAAAAGGGTATGGATGACAGTGGAGGCCCAAACTTCATTTACAGAGTCCCCACATTGACTATACCTCTGGTGAATCCTCTCTGAACATGGCCCAGGGCAGTGAATAGCCTTGCTACCAGACAGGCAGCATTATGAGGTTGAGAACAGCAGATGTAGTTAGTTTAAAATGTAATACTTTACACTGGATCTCCCTTTTGATCCATTTTAAAGTTGTTTCTGTTTTTAATATTTTCTGCTTTTCGATTGAAGTTGTTCTGGGTTGTTGTTTTCTAGTCATTGTTGTTGTTTTTGTTTTGTTTTTCCGCTTCCTATTTGTTTTTTGGTATGATTTTCTGTGAATGAAATCCAAGATAGGTATATCTATAGAGTCACTGGATTCATAATTGCCTAGGGGCGTGGCCAGGGAGGTTAGGGAAATGGGGAGCTAACAATGAGCATGAGAAGAAAATATTCGGAAGCTGATGGCAGTAGATTGATAGCACAACTCTTAATAGGTCGAATGATTAAATTGTATGATATACAAAGTATATGCCAATAAAACTATTTTAAAAATAAAAAGGAAATGGGGGAAATAGAGGTTTGATGTGGCTGGCTTATGAGCTTTTACGGGCATGTTCACGGTAGAATGATTAAAAGTTGGGGGGAGTTAAGCCTTCATGTATGAAAGAAGCCATGGGCTATATGAGACAGGGGGTGGCCTGCAGGGCAGCAAATTATTTAACTCGGCTCTTCTAGTTATCGTCTCTCTAGTTATCCCACCAAACAACCTTTTCCTGATGAGTCTGGGTAGGAGAAGCGGGGGACGGACACACTGATAGGATTCAGTTGTGGGTCCATCTTGGGGCGTATAAAATGAGCCTCACAGAAGCAGGGCGAGAGTGAGGAGTAGAGCCTATTCGCTGGACCCCAAGACCCCGCACTGTGAACTTCCTGGGTCCAGAGGACAGCTGTGACATCAGAGGACTGGCCGAGGAGGCGCAGAAGGGCTGACACAGAGGGCTAGACCCCGCAGCCCACAGAGCAGGAGGCTAGCTCATGGAGCGGTACCTTTGGGCACTTCATCCAGGGAGCTGGGCTCACCGAGCTGAGTACGTGTGGCCTGACGCTTACAGCAAAGAAACATGCCCTTTGGAAACTTACTAGCATCCCGGAAAGATCTTCTTAACATGCCGTGACTGAACACCCATCCTGAGCACCTCCCACCTGCATTGTAACCTGCCAGCAGCCTGAATAAGCCCTTTCGTCACAAGTACTGTCGTGAGTCCTGTGTGGTCGCTGCAATGACTTCTCGAGCCCCAGCAGCCGAAAAAGGAGAGAGTGGTGCGTGTGCTAGAACAGGGTACACGCGATTCGAATCGGTGCACGGGCTGTTGTACATATTCCCAACAACAAAATAAAATCCAGGGACATAAAAGAAAAAAGGTTAGAACCAAGCACCAACACTAAGACATGAGGAGAAATATTAAAATCTCAGAATATGAAATTAAGGTCCCGATAAGCACTAAATTCCGATGTTCCTCTCCCATAAGCGCGCTATCTCCGGATGGACTCTG